AAAATGATTTGATCCGAGATGATGTTCGTTTCAGTCTGCTTCTCACTCACTCCCAAAAGCTCCAAACGCGGAGGTTTGGTTTTTTTACACAGGAAGGGCGGAAGACACAATGAAACTGGCAGACCTTGAACCAAAACAATACTATAGTACCCTTTTTTTTGCAGATCGTATCATCAGACAGGCATCTTGTCAGGTGCTTTGTGGTGAAACAAACTTACTTTTTCGTCTTCCCCATTTTTACATGGTGGGAGCCTCCGTTCCAGGTGCTTCCGTGGTTGGATATTCTGTTCCAGGAAGCCAAGTTTCTTCTTCTGGTGCAGGCCCGTCAGTGTCTTCCTGTTGAGTCTCAATAACCCGAGAATCATTCTCTCCTGGAACTTCGGTTTCCACAGACACTTCTGTTGGGGCATCAGTTCCAACTTCTGGATCTTCTGGAGCATCTGTCATACCAAGTTCAAGCTCAATAACTTCTGTCGGGGCATCCGTCATGACATCGGGCACCACCTCTGGATCTTCCGTCGCGGGGGCATCAGTCTCAGGACAAGGCTCAAATTCACAGTCTGGTCCGGTCCTTCCGACGGAACTGCCATCTGGGCAAATTGCCAATTCTAGAGTACAAGCCACTAGTTCTGGCTCTGCTGGGGGGTCCTCAGGGGCCTCCGTCTCTTCTACGGGCTCCTCAGTTTCAGGACAAGCCTCAAATTCACAGTCTGGTGCGACCCTTCCAACAAAGCTGCCATCTGGGCACTCATAAACATCCGCAGTACAAAAGACTGGAGCAGGAGTTTGCTCCTCTTCGGCATCAAAAGGTTCAAGAGTGGGCTCGGCAGCTCGAGGGTCATTGTCTTCGGCATCAGGCTCCGGTGGCGCTGGGCAATTGGCTGATACTAGTTGGTTAGTCATAGTGTAGTAATGGTTTAATAAAGATCTCCATTGTTTTGTGTTACAAATTAATTGATCACTTCGTTTCGAGAAAGTGACGGCCTTGTCCTTTTTGGACAACTTGGGATGCGAATTTGGAGCTTAGCCATCAGAGCGGACAAGACGCGAGCTGGATGCTCAAGTTCGTGTTTCAATCCAAGACTTCTGCATCCCACAACACCCTGGAGCGTTCCTCAATCGTGCATGACCTTTAAATCCGACCCCAATTTTAGGGTCGGTTTGGGGAAACCCGTCCCTCAATCCGACTCAATTAGTCTAGGGTCGGTTTCGAAACCCGACCCTAAATCGAAATCCGTCCCTAAATTAGGGACGTTTTTTCAGAAACCGTCCCTATTTTTCAGAAACAGTCCCTATTTTTAGGGTCGGTTTTCAAACCCGACCCTAATATTGGTGCGTTTTCAATGTATTTACCATTCAGTCCCGTTTCTATTTAGGGACGTTTTTCAAACCCGACCCTAAAACGAAACCCGTCCCTAAATTAGGGACGTTTTTTCAGAAACCGTCCCTATTTTTCAGAAACCGTCCCTATTTTTAGGGTCGGGTTTCAAAAACCCGACCCTAAAGGGAACCCGTCCCTAAATCCGTCCCAAAAATAGGGTCGGTTTTTGTTAAGGCATGCACGATTGAGGAACGCTCCAGCAAAAGTTGTATGGATATGTAGATGCATGTAGCACGACGAGTACAAAAGAGTCTCAGGACTTAGTTGCTGGTCCTCCTTCAAGGTGTGGTACCGTGGTACCTGCTGCGAAAACGAAAATGACCTGTGGTAGCGATTTATGACTATCCAGTTACCAGATTACTAGAAATCAACCACAACCACAACAACCAAGTAGTAAACACACACAACACTATAGCAACCTCTTTATCAACACCACCATCAGCCTTTTTCGGCTTATCAGGCGTGGTAGCTAGCGATCGAGAAGAAGAAGACCGGTAGCAGCGCCATTGTCGACGATTGGAAGCTACCGATCGAAGCAGCGCTTTCGTTCGTTCGAGACGCGGAAGCTACTACTCGAACGCCATTGTCGAAGAAGATACGTTCGAAGCTACTGTTCGAACGACGACGAGAAGAAGACGACGCGACGCTACTGTCGTTCGCTTGTCGTGAAGAAAGAAGAAGAAGAAGGAGTCGTTCGTTCATTCGAAGCAGCGCCATTGTCGCCGATTCGAAGCTACCGTTTCGGAGCTACAGAACGACAAGAAGAGATCCTCATTGCCAGTGTAATCAGCAGAGGAACAAGAGAAGAAGAAGAAGACCTCCAAGCGGCATAGCAACAGAAGACCTCTCAAGAAGAAGGGGCACTCTCAAGTGGAGCGAGAGATAGAGACTTCCAAGTGGGAGGCAGAGGTTTGGACTTGGAATTTTGATCCCTCCAGTCTGGATTAATTCCTGCCTCATTGTCAACAAAGAAACCGGTTGAGCAAAGGAGAGGGGACGCCTGATCCAAGAGTTTTGGCCTAGACTGCCACAGACTGGGTGTGCAGAGCTCATTCCGTGGAATACAGCCTTACTTGTCTGGGTGTGTACAGGTTGCTGTTGGAATAGGAGCAGAGAGAAGACCCACAACTGTTGCTCATCAAAGTGATACCGCAAGAGAATAAGTAATTGGAGGCGAATACGGCAGGCAATCTTGCAGCCATGAACAAATATCTACAGAATACCATCGGTATTTCCGAATTAGCCACGAGGACAGCATTGAATGATCAAGGATTGGATGCCTTCGTCTCACTCCATACCTTTACCGATGCTGATATCAAGAGCATCTGCGAGAACGTAAGGAAACCAGGTGGTACCATCCCAAATCCAGCCATTTCGGCTGCAGCCACTGATGAAGATGCCGCAGCAGTTCAGCCCAGAGAAGTTTCCAACCGTGGACGACAGCTGGGATTTGTCTTTGAGAAGCGACTTAGACAACTACGGTTCTACAAGTTTCACATGACACGAATCCAGTGTGAGTTCACTCCCAACCAATCCAGTTTGGCGAGATTGATTAGAGTTTGGGCTTTATAAGAGTCCGAAAGAGAAGAGATTGATGTTGCGGATCCTCCCAACTCTTGAATCGAAGATGTCCGCGAGTTCTGGAGTGTATTGACAATGTTCTGAATGTCAAGCGAGGGGTTTGCGGTGCCCTCTGGCTTTACTGTTACTAGATCCAAAGTCACTTTGCAAGGAGCACTTGATACCGACCCCGCAGATGAGGCTGACCCAGGTTTTGGACTTCCATCGCATCCTGAAGCATTGGTCCGAAGAACAAGACATACTGGACCTCATTTCGTAAAAGACAATCAGGCTGTTTGGGCCATCATTCGTTCGGTTACTCACGGTGGACCTGGGTGGACATGGGTCCAACGTTGCGCAGCGCAACAGAACGGCCGAGCAGCTTACTTGGCCATGAAGGTTCACTATTTGGTGATTCGTCCTCCAGGCTCGGTACCAGGCATTAGACAAGACATAGAGGCCATTGAACTACTTTTCCTTTGATGGAAGTCCGATATCATTTTGAGAGATAAGAGGATAGACTTACCAAGGACTCACCGATTTGGAAACCGCTGGTGAAACTTTTACTGAGAGCCGCAAGATTCGAAAGCTTCTGTCCGGCATTAAAGACCCAAACCTCAAGACCTCCAAGTCCGTCATTCAAGTAACTCCGCATCTACGCGATAGTTTCCAGGAGGCTATGTATTACTTAGCCGAGCAACTTGTTGTCGCTGAACCCACTCGGCCCACAAGAAATATTTCATATGTGTCTGGCCGTGGTCGAGGCGGTGGTGGAAGAGGACGAGGACGTGGCGGTGGTAGATCCCAAGGCCGAGGCTATGGAAGAGGCCGAGGAAGGGGACGAGGCCGTGGTAAAGGCCATGAAGGCCGGGGATTTGACCCCAATAACCCAGGAAGATTTACGATCCGCGATGAATGGGCTCAGCTCCAATCGGCGCAGCAGCAACAGCCTAGGGACGCGGATGTTGACAAGCGGAAGATTGCCGAGCTGCAGACACAGTTGACAGATACCCAGTCCCAAGTCTCGGAATTGCAAGCCGAGAAACGATCCCGGACTGATGTTCCTGGCGGATCTAGTGTAGGCAATGCGATGAATAGGCGAGCATGAGTCTCTGCCGTTCGCACTCTGCGATCCGTTGCTACTCATTTGCCATCATCTCGGATTGAGCTTTACTGAGAGCCGCAAGATTCGCAAGCTTCTGTCCGGCATTACAGACCCAAACCTCAAGACCGCCAAGTCCGTCATTCAAGCAACTCCGCATCTACGCGAGAGTTTCCAGGAGGCTATGAATTACTTAGCCGAGCAACTTGATGTCGCTGAACCCACTCGACCCACAAGAAATATTTCATCTGTGTCTGGCCGTGGTCGAGGCGGTGGTGGAAGAGGACGAGGACGTGGCGGTGGTAGATCCCAAGGCCGAGGCTATGGAAGAGGCCGAGGCAGGGTACGAGGCCGTGGTAGAGGCGATGAAGGCCGGGGTTTTGACCCAATAACCCAGGAAGATATTAACATCCCGATGAGTGGGCTCAGCTCACATCGGCGCAGCAGCAACAGGCTAGGGACGCCCGCGATGGTGACAAGCGGAAGATTGCCGAGCTGCAGACACAGTTGACAGATACCCAGTCCCAAGTCTCGGAATTGCAAGCCGAGAAACGATCCCGGACTGATGTTCCTGGCGGATCTAGTGTAGGCAATGCGATGAATAGGCGAGCATGAGTCTCTGCCGTTCGCACTCTGCGATCCGTTGCTACTCATTTGCCATCATCTCGGATTGAGCTTTACTGAGAGCCGCAAGATTCGCAAGCTTCTGTCCGGCATTACAGACCCAAACCTCAAGACCGCCAAGTCCGTCATTCAAGCAACTCCGCATCTACGCGAGAGTTTCCAGGAGGCTATGAATTACTTAGCCGAGCAACTTGATGTCGCTGAACCCACTCGACCCACAAGAAATATTTCATCTGTGTCTGGGCGTGGTCGAGGCGGTGGTGGAAGAGGACGAGGCCGTGGCGGTGGTAGATCCAAAGGCCGAGGCTATGGAAGAGGCCGAGGCAGGGGACGAGGCCGTGTTAGAGGCCATGAAGGCCGGGTTTTTGACCCCAATAACCCAGGAAGATATTACCATCCCGATGAGTGGGCTCAGATCACATCGGCGCAGCCGCAACAGGCTAGGGACGCACGCGATGGTGACAAGCGGAAGATTGCCGAGCTGAAGACACAGTTGACAGATACCCAGTCCCAAGTCTCGGAATGGCAAGCCGAGAAACGATCCTGGACTGATGTTCCTGGCGGATCTAGCATGGGCAATGCGATGAATAGGCGAGCATGAGTCTCCGGTGTTCGCACTCTGCGATCCGTTGCTACTTATTTGCCATCATCTCGGATGGAGCTTGACAGCCATGCCGATACATGTTCCTTTTGGGAAAGTGCTTACGTGGTACATAACACGGGAGAGACTATATACGTCGAAGGGTTTTCAACTTATCTTGGAACCATACACGAAATACCAATTGTAACTGTGGATGTGGCTTATGACGACCCAATCACATCTCAAATTTATATTTTATTCTTTCTTCAATCTTTGCTTATCAATTCATTACAGAACAATCTCTTTTGTCCAGCTCAGCTGCGACTTCACCAGTTAGTTGTCAATGATGTGCCACTGTTGCACTTACCGTTTGAAGACAGAAACAATGAATCCCACTCCATCATTTGTGGTGACCTACGAATCCCACTCCAACTGAACGGTGTTATCTCATACTCCCAGGTTCGGAAGCCCACTGCACATGAAGTCAATTCTCCAGATCACTTCTTTCATGTTCACATGACATCCCAATCTCCTTGGAACCCTCAAGACCCCCAGTCGGCTGACCTCAAGTCCTTCTCAGCAGCCGCTCTGGATTCGGACATGCCAAGTGAAAGGGGACGGAATAGGAGAATTCATTCGATCAGGTCAATTCTGGA